AGGAAATACCGCGTAAACTTATGTCACGTATAAATGTAAAAGTTCCCAACTTCGATATTGATCTACCTTGTGCTATGAGGAGTATGATTGCATTAATGAGAGTTGCACTTCTGATATCTTAACTTGCCAGAGGGCACCTGTTCAGTTCCCTGGCAATGTGACCTGAAGCGTTGCCTTGTCTCGAGTCTTGGCTGAGTCTCCGAACACGTGTTAACTGCTATTTGTTTGAAGCGCGGTGCTATTCTGAAAGATAAGTACTTGCTACAGAAGTTTTCTTATACAGTAAGACAGGGGTCCGCCCTGAGCGAGACAGACTAGACAACGTTGACACAGAACTTAGTTAAGCCATGTGCTCCTGAATTTCTTCCAGTTCCTGGATTCAGAATTTTTAATGCTTTTTTCCCCCAATGTGTAATTGTTCAACTTTCAGACTGACCTGACTGCAAAGGTGCATGTGAATCTTTCTGTGCATTTGGTGGGACAGTATTCTTTTGAAACTCTATAAATTCTTGTATTTGTACTAATAATTAAAATAAACCTTTCCTTCTCTTCCTTTCTAAAATGTAGTCTATATTGCATTTGAGACAAAAACATTTATGTAAAGCTGCCAGGTTTTTTTCACTGAGAGGTGAGGTATTTTGTAGAAAGGATATTGTTTTAAAAAGAAGTACTGCTCAATAAAAGAAATTGTAATGCACGAGCTGTGTATCATCGTGGTTTTAGGAGGCAAATCTTAACTTTCTGTAACTTTCTGATGATAATTCGTACAGAATAATTCTGAGAACACTTAAGCTAGTTCCATTGATAATTTTTTTTTTTAGCATTTATATGGAAGTTTAAGACTACTTCATTCGACTCATTATACTATGGTTTAAGCTCCCTCTAGTGAATGAGTTAGCCACTTTCTATGTAGAAGACTTAGTAGCTAAGACGAAAGCTCTTTAAGACTTTTCCTTTTAAATCCATTATGAAAAAAATATCTTGAGGAAGAATCTTACAACCCAGTGCGTTTTAGATGTGACAGCTTGATCTGCTGTCTGTTAACTTCCATTGGTACTTAGGAGTCGAAGACTCCTAACATGCCTCTGTATTTAAACATGCAGCTTCAAGCTCCTGTCAGATACTGCTAGTCAGCACCAAGAGCTAGGAAAAGTAAACATACTATACGAAGAATTTTTGTTGTTGTTGTATTCTAGTTTTGGTCAAATCACTGTTCATGTGGTAGCTTGCACTGTAGTAGTGATGCTGACTGTAACTTTCCCAGCACCGCCAGCAGCACACTTCTAGATCAGGTACAAATGTACCTTACAAATGCAGCGTCTCGAGGTAAGTCGCCTTTTGAAGTAACATAATGGGGTTTGTTACAGGTTTGCGGTGCAGGGGGAGACCACCTCTTGCATAAAATGTTGTAGGCAGCTTTTGGAGAATCGCTGTATGTGCCTTTATGAATCTGTTGAATGTACTTGTGTAAGCCAGCTGTTCGGATATGCTTGTTCACAGTCGTGATGCCTGGAATTTTGTTAACTACGACTGCGCACGTGGGTGGCTTTAGCTCGTCACTCACCTCAACAAACATTGAACTGTAACATTTTGAGCGACAAGAGAAGTGACTAAAGATGTGGTGAAGTAACCTTAAATGAGCAGATGTGGCTTGTCACTTGCCGGTTAACAGCGGAAGTTGTTATCCATCCATTTCTACGCAGGTCAGCGTAGGCACAGCCTGCTGGCTGTCCCTGCTCTTGTTGAACAAAATAATTGTAAACCCATGTCTCATAGAAACTAATTGTAGCACTTCATCAATGTGTGAGAAATCTACCATCTATCCAAATCCTTCAGTCTCTTATTGATGAAGTCTACATAAATGGAGATTTATTCTTATTTCTTGTTAACTTTTAAGATATTCCATGGTATTACAGGAAGCTAACGCATATCCATGAAATAGTTCTTACTCTTCTTGACTTCGACCACACAAGTGGACTTAAATAATACTACATTGAAGAAATCGTGCTTTCCACGCTACAGAATGCTTGAAGAAAACCTGTTTTTATGCAAGTGCTGAAGGTTGGCTTTGTTTACTGTCACTGTGCACTGCGATGTAAATAGCATGGAACAACTGAAGTACGTAATTGTTTTAATTAGAGGAAAACCTTTGGTAACTTGACATTGGATGCATGTACTTTAAATGGGAGTACTGAACTGTAGATTGTCTACTAAGACAGTTAATTATTTATGTTCGGCTATTTGGCAAATGAAATTTCTAAATGTTTTTTTTTTTTTTTAATTGAAATAACTTGTTAATTAATGCTACGGACAAAACTAGGATGTCATTTCAACAAACGAATAAAACTGATGAGGATTATCTATCCCCCAAAACTACTGCTTTAGCTGTACTGCTGTAGTTCACTTAAAGCATGTAGTCTTTATCATCTCGCATAATGCGTGCATGCTTACAAATCTCTTGCAGAATTACAACTAGCAGGTGGGGGGAAAATATCTGGAATTGAGGCTTTTGTTTGTGCCATAACATGCTTAAGGTATTGTCCTTTAATTGCCTGAAAATACTTCGCATATTTTATTTTTTCCTTCTGTTTGGTTGCATCAGTTGCTTTCCTGCAACTGTGCTCACAGATCTTGGCACGTAATAGAATTTAGAGCCAGTTAAATGCAGCTGTTGTATTCTGCTTAAATTCTTCTGCGTAATGGAAGTTAGCATAGCTAAAACACGATAATTGGATAGTCAGCACAAGATGTTGTTTTCTGGAATTGATAGCAGTATTAAAGGAAGCAAGAACTCTCTCCTTTCTTCCTCTGCCTGCCCCCCAGCCCCTCAAAAGGTAAGTTCGAACTGTGAATTCCCTAGGCAGAAAGATTTTTATCTTTTGGGGAAGCAAGGAATTTTTTACTTGCCTGTAAAGACCTTCTGCCTGGAAAAAAACTTAAGGAAAAGATGGTACGGTACACGAGGGTGATGAATGATTCTGTCCGCTATTTTCTGTGGAATGGCAATTGCACAAATAAACCAACAAATACTTGGAATAAAAACCTCCACTGACAAAGGGCATAACTATTATCCGCCTTAATTCTCTAGACCCTTGTTGGGGTTTGTCCTCTGCTGTAGGAACATAGGCTTTTAGGGTTACCGTGCATGCTTTAGTTTCTAGATGCATTTTCCTCTGAAAGCTGAAAAAAAGATGTTTTTGTTGCTCAATCCATTTGTTAGAAATTATAGCTAGGACTTTTTCAGGCACAGTCAGAGGAGGAGATTGTCTTAGCTAACTTATGGGAAAGTGGTAGTAGGTGCTAGCAGCCAAGTTGCAAAAGCATCATCCTGAAAGTATGACGGGAGGAAGCAGCAGCCGCCGCGTGCACTGCCGAGAGCTGGGGGTGGGGAAGGGGGTGGCAGGTGGGAAGCGGCAGCGGCTTCCGAAGCTTGGGCTCTCAAGTCAGAGCCCGTGTGGCGAGTTGGGATGGCAAGAAGGGGGGGACGAGCTCCGAGGTGGGACAGAGCTGTGTTCAAACGTGCGGTGCTATTTAGATGTCTCGTGCTCTTTGCAGAATCAGATCTCTGAGATGGAAGGGATTCAGGGCGTCAGAAAAGTATTGCAAACTGGATCCCAGTTTGGAGGTGAAACTTCTGTATACCAGTTCTTTGGATCATTTTTTTTTAAAATACAGTAGTATTGTATTAATTAGGTTTATTAGACCTACATGATGAAGGATGTTTTTAAATGAGTGCTGGAAAGGAACAATTTTCCCCAGGACTTTTGTATTACAGGGAAACATAAGGAGGGAGAGCAATGTAGAACAAGAAAACTAATGCAAGTCATCATCTCTAGGCCAAATAGCATATGGGAAGCGGTGATGTGCTGCAGCGGGGATTCAGAGGAGTAAGGAAGATAGTTATTGCTGGTTAGGAACTTAAAATACGTAGTAAAATAAAAGATGAAATGGTTCTGCCTCAAAATCTTTTTTTGATAGATAAGCAATATAAATTGGGTGTTCCATGGAAAAGAAAGATTTAGGACTCGGATGAAGCTGACTGTCTGTAGATGGAGATAACCTGAGTTGCTCAGAACCTAGCTCACTTTAATAAACAAAACATGAATTTCAATGTTATTTTAGGGGGGAAAATAGCCAAAAAAAAAAAAAAAATTAGCTGAATCCTTTTGCTAAGCTGGTATGTAGACGTGGTTCAGATCAGGGCAATCCAAGCACATATGCGGTAAAGTTTAAGGTGGTTTTCCTCCAGAAATAGCTATCGGAATTCCACGTGCAATGAGACAGCCGGGCAGCCTATGCTTCTCGTGATCGCGGGTTAAAATCAAGAGCTGACATATCGCGTGTTATCAAAAATATCCTGACGGATGTAGCACAGCGCTGTTAACCAGTTTTGATAAACAATGATTGCTAAGTTGCAGTGTAGTAGCCAGAGGACAGGATTGTCGTATGACTTTGTACCGAGCAGGAGAGAAAGAAAGACTAAAATCTTTTAAAGCATTTTCTCTTTGTTTGTGTGTGGTTTTTTTTTTTTGTTTTTTAAATTTCAAACTATAAGTAAAGAACGTGAACGAAGGTGACATATTTGTCTTCAATTCAGTATGTTGTCCTTAATCCAAATTACAAACAATGTGGCTTGATCTTTACACATCCAAAATGTCAGTGTGTAAGTTAGCTCACACAGCAGGCTGTGTGAAAGTAAAGGCTATAAATGTACAATAAATTACTTTTTGAAGTTTTGTCTTGGCAATAAGTCTGCAAGAAAGTGCTGCTTTATTTAGAGAATAATGAGTGACTCTCCTACTTTTTCCTCCAAAGGTAAAAATGACAGAAATAAAAAGGACTAGGTGTGGTTTGAAATGTT